TCTTAGAAACTATGTAGTACGTAACCTTCGTATTAATATGTAAGTATAAACTCCATTCCGTATCTCGTAAGTTTCAGGTCCATTCTCTGTTTTTTATAAACTAGACCATTACGATACATCTCTTGTTAACAAGTAATAACTACTGAGAAACATTACTTGTTTGTGCAAGTTTCGCAATAAAAAAGCAAATGACGAAACGCAGCGGTTGAAAAACTTATGCGTCATTATGTTTTCGCAGCTGGTGACGTCACGAACTCGATTTTGATGCACAAATTCATCTTGTATAGTATCGGCTCGTTAGCTCAGCGGTTAGAGCGCCCAGTTAAATTTATATGTAACGAGGTGGTCGGAGGTTCAAGTCCTTCACGAGCTGCAAAACACTTTTTTGTTTTTGTACATATTTGTGACATTGTGGTGTATTAATTATTGTGTTATCGACTTGTTAGTTCAACGGTCGATAGGTTACAAAACATGAAGATGTTTAACGATATAATTCAATTAAAAAGATATAATTATTATGTAGGCACCTATACCTATAATTTTTTTTAAGGTGGAAAATCATCTAATGACTTCTCCCGCCTGGGTGAGTCGGGAGTGAGTGTCAGACTAAAATCCACCCCGTTCCTACTCCTGCGCTTCGAGCCGAAGCCCCGGTAACCCGTTAGGTTCTCCGCGACACCTATACCTATAATAACTATGTGATAAAGTAGAAGGTCTCAAGGTATAAACTCAACGTAGGTATAAAAAATGAGTGACAAGGGCACGGACCAAGAGTCCGTGGAGGATTATTTATTTATTTATTTATTGCACACATACTTATTACAATTGTCATTACAAAAAATAAGTGTAATAACTACTATATCTTATCTACATCTTAGAAACTATGTAGTACGTAACCTTCGTATTAATATGTAAGTATAAACTCCATTCCGTATCTCGTAAGTTTCAGGTCCATTCTCTGTTTTTTATAAACTAGACCATTACGATACATCTCTTGTTAACAAGTAATAACTACTGAGAAACATTCATTCACTAGAGAAATATCGGGTGCTATATTCTAGGCTAGACAATATTGAATTGATTTTCTTTGAAGGGGATTAATTAACATGCATTCAAAGGAAGCCACGCTGATATTCAATTATTTCTTTCTTTCGACTTTATGGAAACTTAGTGTTCGGTTCTGTTTGTTATAAAACTGACAATCATTCTGTTATTGAAACCACTGGTTATTTGTATTTTTCTACATGTGTATTATAATTGATAACAGTCTGTACTCACATTTTTTATCGAATTAAATAACTTTTAAATAGATTCGTAATTAAAGCCAACAAACTAGGGTATAAATGTCCTAAGCCATGAATCGGCGACATGTCGAGCGAAGCTGGCCGATGTCGTCTGACATATGTATTTTTTTTAAGGGGGGAAAATCATCGAATATCTGCTCCCGCATGTGTGTGAGACTCTTACTGACTAAAAACCACGCCGTTCCTTCTCCTGCGCTTCGAGCCGGAGCCCCGGTAACCCGTTAGGTTCCCCTGACATATGTATACGGTGACAACGCGCAACTTATGTCCAAAGTGACGTTGATGTTGCCAGGCATGCATTGTCCCCAAGGAGCATGTCGCATGTAAAACTAAGCAATCTTCATCACATTATTGATAAAAATATTAAACTGGGTATCTAAATATATGTTGTGCTATAAAAACTTCGTTCATTCATTATTCAAAGAAACAGCAATGACTTAATTAAAGCGACATTTGTGAGTTATTATTGTCGCAGTGACAAAGTATAAAGGAAGTTAGCTCGGCAAAAGGTGTGCAGTTAAAGGCAGCTCGAACATTGCTAATTAGAAGTGGTGCTGCCGGCGCTATGCACAAAGTTGCTGCCTGCCATACTGCTACTGCACTTTACTCAGAAACATTTTTCCGCCGCGACTACTGAGGGCAACGCCGACGTTTGCGTCTTTTTGTTCGAACTAGCTAGTTATGTGTGACATACTGGTTTATTGAACTACGAATTGGAATGATGACAGGGTATGGAATTTAAAAATCTAATTAGTCCGTAAGTTAGGTAACGAAAAAAATATTAGACAGATATTGTTTTATTTTGTCGTATAATAAACGAATCAAAGTTTAGGAGTGGGGGCTAAAACGTCATTTCTACGTATAAAATATACATAGAAGTGACGTCACGCGACATTTCAAATCAATATATCGTCGAAAGTATTCGTTTCTGTAAGAAATTTTAAAATGTCTAATGATTTAAAATAATGTACCAGACGACATTAAAATAAAAATTAGGCATGTACCTTATTGATTCAATTATCATTTTAGTGGACTCGATCACTGCTCCTTGAGTGCATGGCATGAGAGCTAGACCATTGGAATGACGAATTTATCAGGTTATAGAATACATATCTTTAACTATAACGGATTTCCAGTGACAATTAAGGTGTTAATATGCAGGAAATGAGTTTGAGTTAAAAGTTGCAATCAGATGTACAATGGAAATATGGAACCGACTGACTTTGAAAACTTATTTGAACCGTATAAAGGAGTTAAGTAAAAAGTTATGAACAAAGCACGTCGCGTCGCAATCGCATAAAATCTGGATATCGTGTTTAAAATTTGTTTCGATATTTTAGGACGTTCAGTATTTTGCGAGAGTATATTTTAATTTTGATGGGTGCCAGGTGTTGCTCGTATAACTTTATGACCGTGTGTTCGTAGTATTTCGTACTCTACAGCTATGCCCTGCCTTTCACGTTACCTTTTAGCTTTTACATTGTGAAATTGGTGTTGTTCTCGTTAATAAACTTTTTCTTTGTGATCCGTTCATTTTGGTATGTTCTTTATATGCACATAGTTTTGGTAGCTTGGCTTTTCACTGCAAATACTTGGCTATTTAACTAGGGAAGGCCATAATGTTGAACCATTGTTCCCTTAATTGCTCAATTCCTATGTTGTCACCGGTGACTTCTCCCCACTAACACCATTATAGACTTTATTTCCGATGTATAGAGACTACTTTAGTATGAACAAATGATATATCAACTAGATGATTTTTAAAGAAAATTGTCTATCTTAGAATTTTGTACCCACGCAAGCAATTTTTCACGTCAACTTTTTCATTACGCATATCGTTTTTCTGAACATACCATTACAGTAAGTTTTATTACGACAACATCATGAGAACGGCTAACTCATAAGTGTATACAACGTTGCCTGAAAATGGGACGTAGTGTGGGGTTATTGCATATTGCGATGAAAAATGTTTTCATAAAAATCTCACCGAGTTCGCTCAGCGGCGCTCACTGATCTTTTAATCTCTTAATTACATGAGGGCAGAATACGCGGGGATTTCACCAAAAATAACCATGCAAAATGGATGGTTACCCCCGCCCCCGCGCACCTCGTGAATATGAATTATTCTTTCGTAGCTACAGCTTGGACGCATATTTACATTTTATATGAGTGCCTACGACGCTCAGCGTGCCCATTTCACTGGGTTAGCGTTTTTGTTGCGCTACGGTTGGCGGATTTTTCGTGAGCGGTATCGTTTTTATTCTATTTTTGGCACGATTCGTCATCAATCCCGTTCACACAGAAGAGAGGTATATTTTCCGGGGCCATTTCTACACGTCGATTGGAAATCCCAATATGCGGTTTTATTGTAAATCCATAGCCGAAGACTTCGGCACTTGCACTACGGATCGGTTTATCACTGTAAGTGCTGCTTACGGTTTCTCAAAGGTACTGAGAACGAGCGTTACTGAGAACGAAGCAGCTCGCAGTAAAATTTCAATATCCGCCAAAATATGGCATTTCATTTGGCTCCCTCTGAAATGCCAAGACGGGATATAAAAATGTAATGGGTTTCTTTCTAATTATTTATGTTCCTAATAGAATGGGCCTCTCTTTGATATTAAACCTATAAACCAGTATATTTTTTCCTGCCTGGCCTTCCATAAAAAGCTCCTTTTTATAGGCCTTGCAATAAAGAAACATTTTTTCGAATATCAAAACGAATGAAAACAGGTTGGTTTAGTATGAGTTGTTTGTCGATTTAATGGGGGAATGTTGAATGTTTTAACTTTTAATAAAAGTCGAGATAATGTACGGTCGCATACACAGGAGTGTGAGCGAGCCTTCCGTAGGCACTGTAGGAACCGCGTAAGTAAAATCTGAACTAAACTTAATTAAAAATCATTTTTAATAAAGTTAATGAAACTACGTCTTTATTACCAGGACTATAGGTACAAACGCAACAGACAAAAATGACAACTTCAATTCAACAAAGCCTAGGAAAGGTAAAGTGTATGGAAAATTCTTATGGGAAGGACGATGCCGATACATTACTAATGCTATTATAATGACTGCTTGGAATCAGCGGTTCCAGGTATAAGTACAATATTTACTGTTCTTCGTACCTTTTACCTATTGAAGTACCTTATGCTTAAAATAGCAGTCTTAGGCATCGTTCACACCAAATGTTTTGTCCGTTGCCGACTGTGAGTATGCTGCTCCAGTGCCCTCAGCTCGTTCACGTGGACTCAGTCTGCAGTACGCCTTCTCCGTCAGTCGTGTCATTCTGCCGTCATGGCAAGCATGAGAGGATAGACCGTGCACCAGTGTTTGTGCACACCTTTGCTCTATTATATCTCATACGTAGTGGGCTAGTCTATTTAGCCTTGCCACCGTGATCTATAAATCGAACGGGAGGCTTTATGATATACTACTTGTATATACATTTAAAAAGTAAAGAACTCTAGAAAGTACTTTATCTTTCTTTCAGGCATTAGTTCTTCTATCAGCAGTATACGTGTTTTTGGTGCATTTTATCCTTGCCTTCTACTTTGATGACACTCAATTCGTCGTGCTAGAACTATCTTTAATTGCAGCTGATCTTATTTTCCTATTGGACGTGGTTGTACATCTTCTGCACAGCTATTGGTCCTTGGTCCGACTTCACGTTAGAGTGTATCGGAGGAACATGTTCTCATTAGCTTATGATATACTTTCGCTGATGCCTTTGATTTTGATATGTAAGTTTTATTAGACATAATTAAATAAATTAAAAAATAGACATAATAAACATTACATTTTTGGTCGTTGAATATCTGATAAAATAATTTCATTAACCGAGTCGCCGGCCGCCGCCGTCGGACTATGAATAACTGTGTTTCGTTTTTCACATTTCGAAAAATTTACAGCATTCTCTGTTTCTATAATGGAGTTAAACTTTGGGCCTATAAACTGAACTGAAAGAAAGTAGCTGTTATATTCAATGTGATATGTATTCTGTTATAGAACTTTGAGTACTTTTGGATATTGCAGATTTCTTTAGACAATGACTTTTAACACTTTACTACTATAAGACTGAATGATAACTTTGTTTACAGTCAAGGGAATACCTGGTTACGAGAGCTATGTGTTGACTGGCCGGTGGTTGCAGATCGGACGAATTTACAGACTATTCGTGTTCTTTCAAGATATAAATGAGCATGTAAGTCTTTGTAGTTAGTATTTAAGTTAATAATAATTCGTTAGTGCAATATGTAATAGACTAGATGATAATAATCATCTAGTCATAACTCAATAGAGTTATGTATAAGTTAACCCTAATAGGGTCATGTACTGTATTTGCTCTATGTGCGTGTACATTGTGCAGTAACTAAATAAATAATAAAGTAGGCTATGCTATTCGTAGAAATAGTTAATATTGTTTTTTGTAATTTGTTAATCGATTTGCAAAATTGTCTTTTTACCCAAAAACCTTCATTCCAGAGGAGGTCTTAGTGACCCCAAGTTTCGTAGTCCTAGCCTATAAGGACTGGAAGTACCTATAATTCTTTGAACTGTTGGAGACCTAATTGCGATACCCAAGCCATTAGCTTAGCATGTTTTTTAAGACGTTTTTTAAGACGGTGACTATTCCTCTTGTGACGATAAATTATGTGTCCACAGATGCGTAAATCACGTCGAATATTATTCTTTAGTGAACATACTATAGCCGTTACGTTAATACTCCACGCTGCCACTTGTATATGGTATTCCTTAAACAAGTTACCAGAAATGGAACACCCTTGGCATAATCTTGGATACCCACAGCATGTACATTCAAGGAGCTTGAGGTTCTTTAGGTATGTCGAATGTTCAAATACTTTATGTATAGTTCTGTCACTAGAAACTATTTGTAAAATGATAGAGACAGCACGATATTTTAAGGATAACTTCAAATGGAATATAGCCTTTCAGTATTCGAGTGTAAGTTCACCGACACTGTTAATAACCAACAAATAAAGAAGAAGGTTGAAGTCGGTATTTTAAACTTAGTTCATATAAAATTATGATAAACTAGCAACCCGTCCCGGCTTCGCACGGGGTAGACAATTATTTAGTTTTGGAAATTTGGATTGTTGTAGTGACATAACTACAATAGTTGGACATATGCTACCGCGGAGTTTTTTGTAGACATTATAATGTTCTTCAATATTGTTGTACATTGTTTTGTTCTATCGCTAATAGTTTCGGCAGCGCATTCGACGAAAGATATTTTAAGACTCATTTTTCTACACCTTCGGTTACATTGTTCAAATTTTACCAAGGATCCCTATTTTTTTTCAAAATGAAATGTAGCCTATGTCAAATTGGAAGAATGTAGCATTGTATTGGTGAAAGAATTTTTTAAATCGGCCTAGTACTTTTTGAGCCTATTCATTACAAAACATACAAACATACAAATCTTTCCTCTTTATAATATTAGTATAGATATAGATATAGTTAGAAGATTTGTTACCTAATGAAAAGGTCACATTAAAAAAATGTATTGTGAACATACCATACCAGCACGCCTTTTATCCCCGAAGGGGTAGACAAAGGTTCACATTACGGTACTATACAATGTGACACCCACTTTTCACTGTCAAGAGTCCCATGTAATAGGGGGTTGAGCCTATTGCCATATACCGGGCACAATTCTAGACTATGGGCTACTACTGAGAATATATTGTAACTTTTTCATAATAGTGATGTTATGATACCTTTATTATTTTATAGTTACAAAACATGTTGGTACTACTGCACTGGTCGATTCTTCAACGTCACGTTTGGGGATTCATTTCCTACGGTAATATTTTTGTGTATTTGTTAGACTAATACTCCGAACTAGGGTAAATCTTAAGATTTAGACTATGATCTGGTAAATGATAAAAAATCGGGCAGACTGACGTTTCGGTTCGCTAGTTCAAACAAAAGAATATTCAAGAATTAGATACACGTGGAATATGAAGTACTACATACATATGTAACCTCAGACAGAGATTATGTAACGCCAATTGCTACGATTCTTATATACCTCTTTCGCTTTATCGACACTAATCAGTCTTTTCATGCATGCTCGTCGGTAAAGAGTACTTTTAATTCGGCCCTTCTTTAACAATATACATATATGGCCAATCTTCTTGACATATGTCTGTTTAGAGAGACCTCTACCGGCGACTCCATTCATATACGCTGTGTATACTTCTTTCGTTACTTTACTATGAAGAGTAGAGGTAGAGAGAAAATTTACATGACATGTTTAACAAGTAAATACCGAATTGTTTCATTTAACTTACAGCGTGACATGGAGAAGTGGTTGACTACAGGGTTGATGCTCGCTGGATATGTATTCTTTCGATTTCGCTTTATAGGCACTCTTTCATGGGAACTTGTCCTTGAAAATTCTAGACGAGCACACTTCGTTGATAAGGTGACCTCTTTGCTATAATACGTATGGTGTTCAGTTTAATTTAAACAACAGTAAACTCCTTCACAATGCATTAATTATGTATTAATATAGGTAATGATTATGTAAACCGAACATTGTTACCTTTGCTCATTTTCGAAAACATTGATAAATAACATATTAATATGTGAATACGGTTGATAATTAATAATTCATTAAAAAGCATAGCATAAATATTCATGATCCGATTGCAGAGTTTTTAATCCTTATGAATAATTGACGGTAAATTGAGATCGATTCAATTTGATTTCAGTACCATCACATGATGAAGTACCTAAAGTTTAACATGGCGCCATCTTGGCTCGTCGAACAGTGTAAGAACTATAAGCTTCAACTGTGGCAAATGAAGGCGGGGATACTGAGATCGGACCAACTACAGAAACTGCCGCTGCCATTACAGATGGAACTAATCTTCGACATTAACGTCGGGAATTTCCATAACTCCATGCTATTTAGAGATACTCGTTAGTGTAATTTGTACTATATCTTCCATCTATTACGGAATAACTTTATAATAGGAGCCTCGAAGTTTGCATTGAATTCAATACCTTTGTAAATTCAGTGGAAGTTCGTAAAAACGGAGGCGTTTACTTTGTAGCTCTTGATAATGATATTGTATAGGATGGAAGTTTTCGTTAATTAAGAGCTGCTTCGTGCACATTTTATTAAAGTTCGTTAGTCTTCCATTGTTAGTATTAAGTGGAACATTCTCAGGGAAAATCCTTGAGGATTTCAGAGCTTGTCGAGGTTTTTAGTAGTTTTATGTAAATTGTTTATGCGGATGTTATTCGTAGTATCGTTGAAGTTGATTGATTAATATTGCCAAGATATTACTGCCTATATTTTTTTGCTTGTCATCCATCATTGCAAGTTTGAAACATTGTACTTTTTTTAAATGATCATTGCTTCAAGTGAAAACTATACTACCTCTAGTCTTATTTTTTTTTGAAGAGAGAAAATTATAATATTACTTCTCCCGCCTTGGGTTAGGCAAGAAGGAGTGTCAGACTCTTATTTTTTTTATGGGATAAGCCGGTAAACGAGCCCACGTATCACCTGATGGAAATGGACAGCTGGAACGCCATAGTCGTTACCGGCCTTTAGGGGATTTGGGAGATTAGGAGTTTGAGGATTGTTTTGGATTCATGGATTGGAGAGATTGGGGAAGGGAGGGTGGGGGTAATTTGGCTTCCGGTAATCTCACTCACATAACGAAACACACCGCAAGCGTTACCTCACGTCAGTTTCCTGTGAGGCCGTGGTATCACTTCTGTTGAGCTGGCCCATTTGTGCCGAAGCATGGGTCTCCCACACTTACTGACTAAAACCGTCCCCGTGTCTACTCCTGCACTTCGAACCGGAGCTTCGGCAATCAGTTATGCCTTCCACGGCTCCGGTATCAGGCATCAGCTCTACTGGGCCCAAACTATACTAGTCCTATAACAGATTTTATCCATTTGTAGAGGAATCATTCATGCGTCAAATTTCTCTTCTGATGCGTCACGAGTTGTATTTGGCTGGGCAGCATATCTGGAGCCAGGGTGTTGTTAAGAATGGAATGATCTGCATTAAGAGAGGCGTCATAGAAATGTTGTCTGACGAAGATGATGAGAGTCCAATGATTGCCTTCAAAGATGGAACTGTGAGTAAGATTTGTTTCATATTTTGTTTTGTTTTCTACTTACAGTGTAGGAATTCAGTAGATTTATCTCAAGCAGGTCCTGATACTGTTATAATATCGTCATAAAAATGCTGTTTTCTCCCTGAAAATTAACCTTTTTAATGGTGAAATGATATTCAAAATTCATCGAATAGTTTCGGAGCCTATTCAATCTTTCTTCTATAATTTTAGTACAGATGTTTGTTAAACCCAGGATCTGAAGTAAAGTTTGTATAGGGAATTGATATTGAGCGAAAGATTAGATTTCTAATAATCATTATAGGATCCAAGGCCTTCTATTCTAACTAGACCTTTGTTGATTCAACGAAACTTTACATTCTGAGAACCTTAATTATTATAAGAGAAAATGTGCTGAAATTTTGCAAAAATCTTTGTCTGTCTTTCTAGAACTTTCTACGAGTACTTAGTGCTTACCTAAGTACTTTGACCCTAGAAAATATATGCTTGATACGTTTTATAGGCTTCAGTCCATGTTTTAGCTGAGAGCTCTTTTAAGGGGTGGTTTTTACTACGATTTTATTTATGGGTAACTGTCGGATAAATAAACCAGGGTTGGCGAGGCGTAAGCGATAATTCTGGTATTATATAGACGTCCATAACTACCATAGCTACGGTAACTTCTTTCAGGTGGGCAGTAAGCTTGCCTAACATTTCAGTGATATAAAAATGTTAAATATTTCATGACTGTTAAAAAAAACTATACGTTTCCCTAGCATAAACATTTAGAAAAACTACAAAGAAATACGAATAAATAAAAAATCTTAACTAAACAGTGAGATCCGACTTTATGTTTCAATTCAAAAAGTTCATTATAAGTTGTATTCCAAGTACAACGGCTAGTCACTAATGAAGGTCCTCCCTTAAGTTGATGACATAAGCAGTAATTATATTTCACAGGTACTCGGAGAGCTTAGCCTGTTCTACTCAATCCCATCCAAAGTTACTGTGAAAGCAGCTACTTACGTAGAACTACAGGTAAATAGATCTTACTTAATTAAGTGGTTCCTAAGGATGTGTTTGTAAAGTTAGGCATATATGGTGGTCTAGGGTCTACGTTTGTCATGGATTAATGCTTTTATAACTTATTTCTGATTTATCTTTGAGAGGTGGTATTTGAAGAGATGACATAGCTTGATGACTTAGTTGGGATATTACTTATAACTTGAAGTGTTAATAGCAAAATAGAAGTTGATACAAGAAACAAAAACGAAGACTTTAATGCTTTATATTATAGAAACATCACATAACATCACACCTTTTTATACCCGAAGGGGTAGGCAGAGGTGCACATTACGGCACTTAATACCACTGTACAATGTAATACCCACTTTTCACTATTTATGTTATGCGTCCCATGTAATAGGGGATGAGCCTATTGCCATATACCGGGCACATTTCCAGACTCCGTGCTACTACTGAAATTTTTAAAGTTTCAGTAATACATTGTCCGATCCAGAAATCTAACCTGAGACCCCTTGTCCGGCAGTCGCACTTGCGACCACTCGGCCAACGAGGCAGACTTTTTTTTTAGATTTATAGAAATAGCTAATTAAATTCTTCAATTCAATTTAAATATCATGCACGGATTATGTTATGGTATATTTTCATATGTATATGAAATTATAACACTTAATAATATGAAATCTCACAGGTTTTACGAAGAACAGATTTTATGCGAGTAATCGTTGAGCACCCGGCGATGTATGAACTGATAAAAAATAAAATTGATACAAGACTCAAGTCAGCAAAGACAAGACAGGTAAGAAAGTTATTTTTAAAATGTACTTAATACTCAACATAGAATAAATACTAACTATTACTAAATATACACAACTTGAGATAAAAATTTAATAAAAGAAAACTAAAAATAACTATTTACCTACACAAAGCATCGAAAAACTCGTCCGCATCGACGTCAGTAATGCAAAAGGTTACCGGGCCTCCGACTCGAAGTGCATGAGTAGGAACGGGGTGGTTTTTAGTCAGTAAGACTCCGACACTTCCTCACGCCTCACCCATACAGGAGAAGTCATTCGATGATTATCCACCTTTAAAAATATACAGGTTGACCAAAAGAACAACCGCGGTAGTAGGAAGTCTGTTCCCAGACCGGGAAAAGTGTTAAAGGGCTCTTGAATTTGATTCGAAAACCTAGTGATAAATTAGGGATATCTACCTACGTTAAAAATGTGTACAGATTTGCATCTATACACATTTTTACAAATGGGTTACAGCAATGTATGTGGTTAATGAAAATGGAATAATAAATTAAATGATGTTGTGTTACATAGTAGCCTACTACCAAAAAGACCATAAATATATCCAGGTTAAAACTAATAGAATATCACAAAAAAATTCTTTAGGGACTATTCACAATTATTCAGCTCTATTCAGCTTATGTTCATGGAAAACAACGATTTTGTATGGAGACGCGTACGCATCCATTCAGCTTTCCGCGTTTATTCAGCTTTCGCGGCAAACAAGTATAAAATGAGAACAAATGTGTTTTTATCATGTGAGTGCTTTAGATAGAGATCAGCGCTGATCTGCTGCATTCAGCGCTGTTCCGCCGCGTTCGACGCTCAATGTGGCGGAACAGCGCAGTACACGTGTGGTTCTCAACTCCTTGTCGACAAGTTGCAACCTGCATAGCTCCTGGATAGACTTGATTTATTATTACTGTAAAGCTAACAGTATTATTCACTCAATACCCAACTGTTGTTGTTTGTAAAGTGGCAGGTATCTGTCAGTTGTCATAACCATGTAAACAGTCCTAAATTCTTGTAATGGTAACATTAACAGATACCCGCCACTATAAAGTAATAATTGACAAATCGAATGTTAAGGTAGATGAATGAATGGAGAGTTACCCTCAACTGGTTGAGTTGGAAAATATGATTATGAACGACACTTGAATTTGAACCGTTGAACGGAACGTTCATATTTTTATTGTGAAAATTATATCGAAGAATATCAAAATAATCATCGTTTTATTTCTGAGTTGAGATTGAGTTCTTACATTACGTAATATGTACGAAAGGATCGAGAGAGTTCGGACGTAATTTAAAGTAATTCTAATTACCTACCTACTTTATTTTTTCGAAATAAAATAATGGGCGAAGAGAAAATTATATTTCTAGTGCAAAAATATTCTTGCTTGTACTTGTAAAAAATAGCGGAGATAACACTCTTACCCCACTGTACGCCGCTGATAGAAGTAGAACTGAATAAGTGTGACCAAAAAAGTTCAGCGAAACGCGAATAGAGCTGAATAAGTGTATGTAGTCCCTTAAGTGGAAAATACCATAAAATGTTCCTTCTTCAACAAATGTACAGACTAAACTTTAATAGGCAACATAGAATTGTCTAGAAAGTTTTGTTCATGTAAACACTGTTTTGCAAGTCTTAAAGTTTTATCAATTAAGAAGTTAACTACAATATTTTATCATAACGAAAAAGCGAACTTGTTTCACAATCTGGGCAGCCATTTTAAAACCGTTTACAATGTTCATTTCGAGTTTCAGTTGTAGGTTTTAGTTTCGGCCACAGCAGTTTGTTCAGCACGCCCACCTGAAATTCTCTGGAATAATAAAGTAGTAGTAATTTCAATATTTAAATGTTACATTATTTCAATATTACGTAAAAGTTTTGCTCTTTAACGCTGCCATGATACTTATTGTTTAAAGTAAATGAGAATTTTGGAATAAATAGTAATGAAAAGTCGCTTTTTGTCTCATCTTTTTGATATTTTTGGTGATATTACTGATGTTTGGTATCATACAACTGTGTTAATTATAATTAATTTATTTGATGCCTGGCTCGTTGGCCGAGTGGTCGCAAGTGCGAGCCGGGCAAGGGGTCTCGATTTCGATTTTTGGTCGGACAAAGTATTACTGGGTTTTTAAAAAAAATCTGTAAGTATATGGTAATAGGTTAACCCCCTATTACATGCGACTCATAACATAAATAGTGAAAAGTGGGTGTTACATTGTACAGTGGCATTAAATGCCGTAATGTGCACATATGCCTACCCCTTCGAGGATAAAAAGGAGTGATGTTATGTTATGTTAATTTATTTGATATATGTTATTATGCCTCTATTTCTCCTTATTTATCATATCCTCTTCGAAAATCGAAAAAATGTTTACTATGTTTACAATTACAATCTTATTGTTGTTTTCTTATATAATAGTGTCAAGATGCTCCCTCACCGGGAGCATTCGCGTGTAATGTAACGTTACAGATCTGAGCATTACATCAGTGAAGGAGGAGAACCGAGCATTATAATGCGCACCTTGTAATGATACAATGTGTAATATCTTGATACAACTTGTAACATCAATGTCTGACATTTTGCTATGAAATGCTCAAAGACGAATCTATATGTTACATTACACGCGAATGCTCGTTAGTCAGGGAGGTATTATTGTAATGTAATGCTCAAAGTCGAACCTACAATGTTACATTATACGTGAATGCTCCCGGTGAGGGAACACCTTTATGTATTACGATTTAGCTATGGACATATACATAGATACGACACATGTAAAATAATATCACGTCTGATTTCCCTAAGGGATTAGGTAGAGGTGTAATATATGCAGACATTTCACTAGTGACCTTGTCATGGTAATATAGAATAGATCTATTTCCATAAATACTGATTTTGAGTGTGGAATTCGGACTTAAAAAAATTAAACTTCGATTCAAACCATGATCATATTATGTAACACTCACTTTTTGCTAGTTTAGCTTTAGTCCGCTTAAAGAAAGAGGAATCAATTGCCTTGCACTGGACGCTATGTCAAACTCCACTCAATAATATATAACCCAAGAATCAAACCCGAAAACCCTTTATTCGGCAGCCACGTTTGTGACCACTAGACTAATAACTCACACAACAACCTTTAAGTGACCACAGCTGACCAAAGGCCTCTTCTCACACGGAGAAGGTTTGAATATTAATCACCACGCTCGCTCAATGCGGGTTGGCGATTTCGAACTTATAATTATAAATTATAAAGTTCAGGTTTCCTCACGGTGCTTTCCTTCACAGTTTGTCAATGATGTCTAAATAATCTTAGAAAGTACATATAACTCGGAAAATCACATTGATACTTACTGTTGGTAGGTTTCGAACCCGCACCCTCATGTATGAGAAGCGCCGTCTTAAACCTCCGATCCACCACGACATTAGACTAATACCTACTATAATAATATTACTAATTACTCAGTTAGTTATAAAGTTAAAACTTCTTTTTTCTAGGAAGCAATAGAAAATTACGATAAAGGTGACTCGAGGCTAATTCGAACCCGCTACCGACCAATGAAAGTGCTTAAAGACAAGTTGACTGGAGCTGAAGAGGAGGACCCTACTTTTGTGGATGACTCTCACATGTATTATAGAGGTAATAATATAGTTATTATGTTCAAGTGAAAAGGTTTATGTACTGTTGAGTTTGTGTGGGTGGAGTTTTTTGTACGAGATTTATTTCAGTTAAGGGTTTTGCAAGAATACACACTACGATACTGGAAAACATCGTTGGCCGAGTGGTCGTAAGTGCGACTGCCGGGCAAGGGGTCTCGGGTTCGATTCCCGGGTCGTTCTAAATATTACTGGATTTTTAAATATTCTCAGTAGTAGCACGGAGTCTTGATTTGTGCCCGGTATATGGCAATAGGTTCGGCCCCTATTACATGGGACTCATAACATAAATAGTGAAAAGTGGGTGTTACATTGTACAGTGGTATAATGTGCACCTCTGCCTACCCCTTCGGGGATAAAAGGCGTGATGTTATGATACTGGAAAAATTTTAAGCGGGGCAATTTTAAAAATAAAATTTATTGAGATTTTAATTATTTTTCTTTACTACGTAACCCGTAATCTCAATATCTCTAAATCATCAAATGTTCAATCAATTGTATCTCGAAGGATTCCTATAACAATTTTAATAGACTTAAAATACCATTGAAAATACAGGTCTACGACATTGCTACGAAAACTTCATAGCCAGTGCCTACGACGTAGCACCTCCGTAGACCTTTGTTTACCATGCTAAGTAATTTGTTGTTTAGACGAGAATAATGAACGCCAGCCAAAGTTCACTACGGAGTTCCTTGAGCTATATCAAATGTCCAGTAACGTGACCACGATAGATGCACCTCATATTTGTCTAAGATCTAACTTTCCATGGATATTGATGCCCGATACCGACTTTGTAAGTTGATGCTTTCTGCGTTTTGTATTTACGTCGTTTTGTTAAAGTTTAGTTTAGGCAGTGGTGCCTTTTGTACGCTTTTGCCTATAAAGGGTTTAGTAAAACGCATGTATTGCGCAAATTTTTTTTAATACCACGACGGTGGCAAAAAAGCACACGACCCACCTGATGGTAAGCGGTTACCGTGGCCTATGTACGCCTGCAACACTTCGGGCATTATATGCGTCTTGCCTACCCTTAAGAAACCTATTCATTGCCCTCTTGAAGAACCTCATGTTGTAGCCCACTGGGAAAACCAAGGCAGGGAGCTCATTCATAATTGCTTTTATTTTATAATAATAATAAAGTTTATAGATTCATTAATTAATCTTTGATGTCTATGCTGTTTCGAAAGGATTCAATAGATGGTATTATTTGGTGAAATGAAATACAGGTTTCATAATTATATACTTACGCCCATGTACTGAAAGGCTATACTCAATTTTAAGTCTGTTGTACTTAAATATCGTGTCATGTATGTCAATTTGCAAAGAATTTGTACATAGTGATAGAACTACTTTTAAGTGCAACTTAAAATTCAGTAACGTTAGAGTATTTTTTTATGGCATAAGCCGGTAAACAAGCAGACGGATCACCTTATGGAAAGTAATCGGCGTCGCCCATGGACACCTGGAACACCGGAGGCGTTACAAGTGCGTTACCGGCCATTTGGGGATTAAGAGTTTGAGGATTGTTGGGGATCCAGGGATCGGGGAGATTGGGGAAGGGGAGGGTAATTCGGCCTCCGGTAACCTCACTCACACGACGAAACACAACGCAAGTGTTCCTTCACGTCGGTTTTCTGTGAGGCCGTGGTATCACTCCGGTCGAGCCGGCCCATTCGTCGTGGCGAAGCATGGCTCTCCCACACTTAGGAGTATTACGCTGAACGTAAAGTCACGCTATGACACATGTTGCCGGCGACGTTGGGAGTAGCGCGACGTTGCCAAACTTTGGTCGACATGACTGGCAACATCAACGTCGCTGCAGCATCAACGAATTCGCAATGCAAAAAATTACGATGTGAATTGCTGCGATGCGATTTCTTGCGACAAGACGTCTCCCAGGGTGACCATTCCTTCGACGACCGTCAACCGTACTAAACGTATTTTAAATTGAATACTGGGTCGTGACAGGGATCGTGAAAAGAAGTGTGCACTTCTGTTATTGCTTAGGAGGTACAGGAAAAAGATTTTGGGAAGATAAGATTTTGATGCGTGATGGGAATCAATTCGCAAGTTCTTGCGATGCGTAGAGGGACCTCGCACATTTTTGATATGCGACGTTGGCTTCGTTTAACATTTGTCCCATAATTTATTCTTGACTTTACACTAACACAAATTCCTTTTATTACAGACACACATGTTTGACGTAGCTCACTTTCTAATCATCGTGTATGTGTGCTTCATGTCTCCATACTCTGCACTCCAGAACTATCACTCGGATACTGAGAAGGTCCTCGGCACTATTGTGGTCGCAGCCTTATTGATAAATATATACATGCAACTGACTACAGCTACTTATGAAAATGTAAGTGTATGATAAAGCGTATAAAATATAAAACCTTTTATTTACAACAGGTGAATGTTTTGCCCGGCAATATGCCTTTTATCTCCGTAGGGGTAGGCAGAGGTGCATATTTTGCCATAGTACAATGTAACACCCAGTTTTCACTATTTATATTATGAGTCCCATGTAATAGGGGGTGAGCCTATTGCTATATACCGGGCATAATTCCAGACTCCGTGCTATAACTGGGATTTTTTTTAAAACCCAGTAATACTTTGCCCTACCCGGGAATCGAACCAGAGCCTCTTTGCCCGGCAGTCCCACTTGCGACCACTCGGCCAACGAGGCAGAGCAGTAAATATTTACGAATATCTTTCAGAAAATAGACGAAAATTTCTATGTGGTATCACTACCATTTTTGTAAACAAAAAATGTAATCCTTGTAAAATGTTTGTAACAAAATATTATAGTTTGTCGGTAAGTTGTTTGCTCTTTGGCTAAGTTTCGGTCTACAAACTTCGGAAGCGCCGCAGGACACGTGGCAAGCACATTAGCTGCCATTTAAACACGTGTTTGTTACGATTAAACTGATATTCAAGAATTTTACTTACCAATAGTTTTAAAGTATAAATAACATGTTACATAAGAAAATTTTCATAAACAAACTACAATTACTTTGAAACGTACGTATGTTTGCTGCCATGACATACGCAATAACGAAAAACACAACACACATTTCTACTTAGAGAAAACAATAAGAATAAATATCAAAGGTTTAGGCATAGCCAGGTAATGGTTACGTTCAGAATACCCTATAAACTGTAGCAAATAAAGGCCCTGTGCGCTATTGTAGTTATTATTGCGGGGCACAAAGAGCCTTGCTTGATTGGATCGACCCGCACAAAGAGCGTTTGGTACACTGTTAATTGAAATCAATTAATGACATTGTGATGTTTGATTCACGCTCGGTGTAAACGTTGATGTTGTATGGGTTCGCTCGACTGTTATGGCTAAGACCGAAACCATGACCGCAGCCGCATCGTGACCGGGTCGTTATCCGTACGTTCTAATGTAAACTGCCGTTCTGTACCGCACGGTAACAAAAGTTGGTTGAAACTGTAAAAACTGTAGCATGAAGCAGCGTGGGTTTGAGAACGTTTGAACTGGAAAAGTAAAATAATAGGTCTTTATTGCTGCTTTTTGTATTTTTGGCGAATCATCTGCGCTTAAGTTGAAATGAAATGACTATTATACAGTTTTCGGGTCACACAAATATTTTACTGATTAATAAACGTTACTACATTTTTCTTTGTTTGAAATATCAATGCCTGTCTCCGATAGAACCACTGTCTTTAACGTATGTTGATACTATGAACAACGTAACCAACGTTTTATATCTTCTACAGAACGTACTAAAAGAAACGGTAAAAGAAATAGCAGAAGTAAAAATGGCGTCTTTTGGGTTCTACCTAGATATTATATCTGTGTTCCCTGTGTCTATATTCACTGATACTATGGACCCTCAAGGAGAGACGGTGGCTGGTCAAATAGCTATGCTTTTCCCGATCCTACAAGTGTGGCATATATGGCATTATATAAACAAGTGGGCTAAGAATTTTAATAGCCATACGAAAGTAAGTTTTATTTAATTTATATTTCGTTTGTCTTTCCAGTAATAACAGTATTTATCATGGACAATCAATAGATTATGATGCGCTTAAGGTTATAAGCCATTGTCAAACTTGTGTTCGTTTCCCATGCAAAAGATCATAAACGAAGACCCTATCAATGGTCCTTATATTACTCTCATATACTCAGTATGCATATGTGAGCACCATGTTAGACTATAAGATTTATTTATGTTTATTTGTTTTTTTTTTATTTTAGTAAGTTTTGTAATTAGTATAATGCGCCAAGCGTGCCTTTGCATTGTTCTCACATATACGAGTACGTAAAGTATTGGAATATGTATCAGAGACATTGTACATACATACAACATACTTTTTTTTAAAAAGAGTAATGAATTCTCTTTTCTTGCTCGTTCTTTTCCATTCGAATCTACATTTTGGAATGAGCACCTAGCTTCATCTAGCTTCACTGATGGACTGACTGACAAATTATTATTTTTGTTGTATTGGGTGACGTTTCAAAAGTACCAATTTATGGTTTATTGAAATGAAATGACTTAAATTAACGTATTTTTTTATTGAGTAGCTATGTTATACGAATAGTTGATACTTAAATTAATGTTAAATCTTATTAACATAATACTATCTACCTCTGAATGTGTAGAAACAGTTAACAGCATATCATTTGAATCCGTTTACCTGCTAACGTAGATTGGAGTAGTAAATTCTCCCTGAATATACATACGTGCATACATATAAACATACCTCGACATCATCTCTGGTTTCATGGAAGTAAAGACATGAAATATATGAAGCGATCCTACAATGTATAACTACTGTAATAGAATTTCAACCTTAACATTTTGTCATAAGATTGAAAATTGAGGCTATGTTCTGCCGTCAACACGATGCATCATTCAATGTTCGGTACTCTGTCTATATCGCTAATTGTGCTGTCTCAACATATTAAATACAGTTCGATTATAATTTCCAGATATTGATCTTGTTCAAATTTTGCCTGATATTCGTCATATTTTGCTACTGGTCTGGATGTTTTCTGTATCTCTTTGCGTGTCCAAGGAAACTTTGCAGGGCTGTGAGTATAAGATAGTATATTTTTGGCGAATGTAGTTTAGTGCTAAGAACGGTAATGTTATCCTTCGCTTACGTTTAGATATTTATGCTCCTTCGCACACGACGTGGTATCTTAAGCGCGTAGTTACGATGGTGTTCGCGTATAGTTATGACAACCAACATCACATGATACGTCCTAGTGTCTTGGAATACAGACTAGTGTCTAATTTGGACACCAGTCTCCTCAGCTAAAGTAATGAAATTATGATGATTTTCGTATGCGAAGGAGTTTAATACTTCATTCTACTTTAATGAAAATATACAGTGTTCTTATTGAAAAACTACTATATTAAAATAGTCGTTTTGTCATCACATTTCAAGTGTCTACCTACTTACGTAGGTATAGAATCGTTATATAGTCCCATTATGCGCCGCTCGTCCTCGTTGCTCGACGATCATCTTTAAAATTCGAATCAATTTACATTATTAAAAACGGAAAGCGTTGATTAAAAGGCTATTTAAACGTGATATCTTTTACATAGCTGGTAATTAATTGAACATTTTTATTCCAAAATGTATCTTATTTATGGTACACTAGAGTACATTTTTATTAAATCGAAAATATTATCTCAGAGGCATTTAATAATTGGGTACTTGCCGTTAGTCGAATTCAATACTTTTTTCGAACTGTCAAAAACGACAGTTCTCTATGAATTTCAAAGGTACGAGATAGTATTACTGTATTGTGTATTGTGACGTCACGTTGTTTTAGAGACAAACAGCAGCAACTTATTTGTTAAAAATCTACTATCTATATTAAAATTAAGTTGATCATAAAATCAATTAATGAAAGTGTGATTATTTTTAAATATTTTATTGTATTGAAAAGTCGAAATAATTTATTTTTGATTAAGAAAAGTACCCGATTACCGAAACTATCCCTTAGTAATGATTTTGTACCAAAAACAATTGCTACAGATTGGGTTAAGTACCCCTTTAATAACTCGGACTATGGCTACAATGCAGCCGGTCACAGGTTCGATTAAGTGTTACCTGTTAGCGTTTTAAAAAGGAATTTCTCAGTACAATCCATGCCAGCATAAAATATCGTGATGACAATATTATTGTATTTTATCTTACCTTCCATAGAACTCCTGGATGTCGCAGTTGATATACTGGGAGACGAAGGTGTTCATGACGAATGAGGCTCGTCACGAGAGCCCTCTGAAGACGTCCTTCTTGTTCGGCACGTCAGTTTTCACTGGTACTGGCAGCTCGGAGGTTGCACCAGGAAGCCTCGACCTCTTTGTAGTAAGCTAAACAATTGAGTATTAATTTAAAGGTGCTCCTTCACCAGGACCATTCGCATTCGTAATGTAACGTTACAGATCTGAGCATTACATCAGTGAAGGAGGAGAACCGAGCATTACAATGCGCACCTTGTAATGATACAATGTGTAATATCTTGATACAACTTGTAACATCGATGTCTGACATTTTGCTATGAAATGCTCAAAGTCGAATCTACATGTTACATTACACGCAAATGCTCGTTAGTCAGGGAGGTATTATTTTAATGTAATGCTCAAAGTCGAATCTATAATGTTACATTACACGTGAATGCATGCCGGTGAGGGAGCACCTTTAGATAGGCCCAATTTCTTTCCTCAAAGAACGGAAACGCGCGTGTTACTCATCTGGTCCATGGGCGCCGATTCCTTCCAGGTGATCCGTCTACTAGTTTATCACTCTGTCCTATAAAAGAGCTAAATGGAAAAGTAGGAACATCAACTAATGAAAGTGTGATTATGTTCCTATTAATTATTCAGTTACTACATAAGATCTCCAACTAAAATACGAACAACATATGCCATGAATATCGTACAATATTATAGATAATACATTACGTAAATATACTCTTTCAATCAAAAGAAATCATACCATGCATGTTATTTATCGTCTAAGTTAATAACACATAAATAAAGCGACTATGTAGTATTAAAATGCATGACTGCCACCGTTGGCCTAGCAGTCGCAAGTGCGACTGCCGGGGCAAGTGGTCTCGGGCTCGATTCCCGCGTCCCACGTCAGGGAAAGTATTACTGGGTTTTTAAAAAAAATCTCAGTAGTAACATCTCAGTTTGGCAATAGGTTAATTCCCTATTACATGGGACTGGTAACATAAATAGTGAAAAAGTAGCTTGTTACATTGTACAGTGTAAATGTCCACCTCTGCCTACTCCTTCGGGGATAAAAAGCGTGATGTTATGTAATGTGTGGTTCTATAAAAACAGATGTCAGTGAACTTAGCTGATCATTGTCCAGCAGATCAAAAATAAATGAGAGTTCTCATTGCATGCAGCTGAGTTCAATAGTTCCTGACACCTTTTAGAAATAGTTCCGGCGTTTTTACCTTAAAAAAGACAATTAAAAAAATGATCTGCCAACTTCCGGCAGCAGATCAATTTCTAGCAGATCATAAATAAACGTCAGTTCTTACTACATATAAGTTAGTTCTACAGTTCCTGATAATTTTTAGAAATAGTTCTGGCGATTTAACCTTAAAAAATTCAATTGAAAAAAAAAATCCAGCATACCAATTTCAGCACTTCAAATGATATTGTAAAGGGCTACAACTGGCCCAATCCCTAGAATTCTTTTGTTTCTCACAGAGTCGTATCAGAACTACGATTTGAAACTCTAATCGAGTCCAGAACTCCCTTTAATGTGCCAGCAGAGCATGTCTGAAAGTGCAAAAAATCGAAATTTATCAATTTCAGCACTTCAAATGATATTGCACAGGGCTAGAACGGTTCCAATCCCTAGAACTCTCTAGTTTCTTACAGACTTAAATCAGACCTACAACCTAAAACTCTAATTGAGTCCAGAACTCACGTTAAAGTGCCAGCAGAGCATGCCTGTAAGTGCAAAAAATCGAAATTTATCAATTTCAGCA